TTGAAGGCCCAGCTGCAGCTCAAAACCTACCAAGTAAACCCTAAACCCTAAACCCTAAACCCTAAACCCTAGCTGCAGCGCGACAGTTTGACCCTAGAGCCCACTTTATCCCTAAACCCCATTTAGCGGTTTGAAAGCGCTTCAAGCCCTAAACCCTAATTTGGGGTTTGAAAGCGCTCCAAACCCTAGAGCCTAGCTGCCCCTAGTCCTCTTTCAAAACCCTAACTTTCTGGGATCCCTAAACCCCGTCTACAAAACCCTAAACCTCCGCAAACCCTAAACCCTAAACCCTCATCTTCTGCCGAGCCCCACGGCGAAGCGCCGGAGGTCTTGGCTAGGTCTCTGCAGATCGCATGAGGGTTTAGGGTTTAGGGTTTAGGGTTTAGGGTTTAGGGTTTGTGCGCAGGCTCAGGACCTGGCCCAAAAGCTGGATATAATGACAGCCTCTCGCAACCACTTTCTCAGGAGCTGCTCTTTGCTGCTGAGGCAGCTGCAAACCCTCAAAGAAGTAAACCCTAAACCCTAAACCCTAAACCCTAAACCCTAAACCCTAGCGCGTCTTGGGCCCTCACAAGCCCCCTCAGCCACGCCTACTCCAGCAAAGGGTAAAGCTAACTAAATCCAAAAAGCGAAGCGCGGTGCCATGCCGATAAATGAGGGTTTAGGGTTTAGGGTTTAGGGTTTAGGGTTTGCAGCCCAACCACAGAAGAGCCAACAAGGACAAAGGACAGACGTGTGCATCCGCCTCTGCGCTGCTGCTGCTGCTGCTGCTGCTGCTGCTGCTGCTGCTGCTGCTTCTGCTGCAGCAGCAGGAACCGTCTCCAGTCCCCTGGGAGGCTGAGCTAGAGGAAAAGCTGCAGGCAGTGCAGCGGGAAATTGGAGGGCTCAGTCACGTGCTGCAGCAGCAGCAGCAGCAGCAGCAGCGGCAGCAGCAGCCACAGGCAGCTGCAGCAGCCAAGGAAAACACAGCTCCTGCCGCCAACCAGCAGCAGCCGCAGCAGCAGGACCTGCCGCCGCAGCAGCAGCAGCCAGGGGCCCCCTCCCCGAGAGCGGGCACCACCCCCAAAAGCAACAGCAGCAGCAGCAGCAGCAGCAGCAGCAAAGCAGACACTCAAAAGAGAGGCGTTGCTGCAGCGCTGCAGCGCGAAATTGACGATCTGCTGCAGAGCTGTCTGTACACCCCAGACGACCCTCTTATTAAGGCGCTTGAGGAGGCAAAGCGACAGGCCCAAACATGACAGCAGCAGCAGCAGCAGCAGCAGCAGCAGGTCTGCTGCTGCTGCTGCAGCAGCTGCTGCTGCTGCAGCTGCGTGTGCGTGTGAGGCGGCAGCAGCAGCAGCGTCGCTCCCTCGAGCTTGGCGCCCGCAGCAGCTGGCGGCCGTTTCGTCGTCCCGCGGCGCGGGCGCCCCAGCAGCAGCAGCAGCAGCAGCAGCCGCAGCAGCAGCAGCAGCAGCAGCCGCAGCAGCAGCAGCACCAGCAGCACTGCGTGTGTGTGCGTCAGTGTTCGTCGGCGTCGAAGTGTTCTCGCTGCGCGGCGGCTCCGTGCGCGAGCTGCTGCTGCTGCTGCTGCTGCTGCGGCTGTTGGCAGACAGACTCAGCCGCGCAATCTCCATGACCAGCGAAGGCACCGCCAGCAGCTGCTGGAAGTGGGGCGTGGCAGCCACAGCTTCGGAGTTGCGGAAAATGAAGTCCAAACAAGCCTTTTTGAGTTTTGGGGCTTTGTGCTGCTCCGCAACTGACAAAGTGCTGCAGACGCTGGCAGTCTCCAAACTGCAGCACAAGAGACTTTCGCAGCAAACCTTCAGAGTCTCCAGCCCGTACTGGTCCGCCAACGTCAGCACCTGCAGCGACGCGCATGCATGCATGCATGCATGCATGCATGCAGATGCATGCATGCAGATGCATGCAGGCAGATGATGCATGCACATGCATGCATGCATGCAGATGCATGCATGCAAATGCATGCAGGCAGGTGCATGCACTTGCATGCAGGTGTGTGCAGGTGTGGGGAGGGAAGGCGTGTTGATGCATGCGTTTGCATGCATGCAAGTGCATGCAAATGCATGCAGGCAGTTGCATGCAAGTGCATGCAAGTGCATGCAAATGCATGCAAGTGCATGCAAGAGAAAGCCCCGTTAAAGGGGGGCGCTTTTGGCTGTTGTGCACTTGCGCATGCATGCAAAGTGCATTTGCGCATTTGTAAACGGAAAGTGCATTTAAAAGATATTTTAAAAGTTTTATAAATGCATTTAAAAGCAAAAACAAAAAGATTTGGAAAAGACACAAACACGAAGATCTGAACAAGACACTGAACAGTGCAGTGTACATACACCTGACGCCCCACACCTCGCAGCTCCAGCTGTCTGTACACCTGGGAGCCTTTATAGTAAAAACGAAAACAAGAAAAGTGGAATTAATAAAAGTGAAGCATCTCAGAGATATATCAGCATGCAAACAGATAAACAAAAAAAGAAAAAGCGCTTAGAGAGCAACAGAGTTG